TACACTACATGAACACACGCGGCAAACTTATTACACAGCATGACCACATTTGGCAAAAAGGATCGGGCAATATTGAAATAAAAATTCATAAAAGATTAAGTTTAAAATGTTAGGGATCGAGAATAAAGTTGGATGCATTTATCAGGTGTAACAAATTTAATGTCTAATTTGATTTAGACAAAGATAAATGACGAATCCGCATTTAGAATATGGTATCACAACGAGAATTGACATTAATAAATGGCTATGTTAAAAAAATTTTTTTTTATTAAAATCTCATATGAAACCATAATATGGCTAAGTTAGTAAAACGTACGTACGTACGTACGTACGTAAATAAACAATTTTGTCAAGTGTCACCCGAACGCTCTGTTACAGTTTGCACAAATATTGTGCATTGGTGGTAACAATGAATTTAGTAAACATAAAGTATAGGTCATTCACTTTTTATACTTTACCTGTTTGAAAATTTTTTTTCAAAAGCTGGTCTTCTTAAAAAATGACAGAATCGCCAAGAACAAGTATTGAGTATGATGATATATATTCACAAGTCATATCACAAAGCAATTATTATGAAGATGTAACTAATCATCAAGCACCACAAGCGTCAGATGGAATCCCAGTTTCATCTGCTGTTCAGGAGGAGCCACCTGAGAAAGAAACGGATAATGAATATAATCAACCAATCTTTCCAACGAACGTAAAAATTTATCGAACTATAAATACATTTAAAATTTTAGCTTTACTTCTTTATATAGCTCTCTGGATATATCAAATAATCTATAATGCGATTAATTTTTCACTCAATTCATCATCTGTATCAGCTAATAATGGAACTAATGGAACTTTGCCTTATCCTATTAATTATAATCCATCTGCTTCATATGGTGGAGCTATAATCATGACTTTTGTATTCACATTATCCATCGTTTTTCTTGTAATCGAATTAGCATATCTTTTTATCACATTTAAGCACGATTTTATCACGAAAAGCCATATTATCGTATCCCTGGTGATATTTTTCATTTATCTTGTTTTTGCATTAACCTTTAATATTATTGCTGGCATGGGTGTATTAAATTCGGATGTATATTCCGCTATGATTACATTATTATGGATTATACCCTTTCTCTCATTATTAGAATTCTTTGCTGGTGTTCCAAAATGGCCTATAATTGGAGTGGTTTCGGTTAGCAGTTTTATTAAGTTTATAAAAGTAATATTAATCTTACTTTATTTAATTATTTTTATCATCAAATTAGTACGATATAATCCAGATTATGACCCTTATTTTAAAAACATTTTAACTGTTTTCATAGTTGGGATTATTAACTTGATATTTGAAGTTTTTCTTAACATTCTCTATAGATTTCGACTTTTAAAAAGTTGGTTGATTATAGTAATGAGAATCTTTTTCATGTTATTTTTTTCTTTTTATTTTAGTACAGCTTATGCCAATTGTTACCTTTTAGAAAATAAGATTTATGCTATTGCTGATGGATTAATTTGGGTCATTGCATTTTGCTGTTTTGTAGAATTTATTATAAATGAGATTGAATTTATAAAAACTACTGACGATTTCAATCATGATGATGATTCACAAGCTTAGATTGTACTATATTATCTACAGAACATTAAGTATTATTAATAAATAATTAATAAATTAATAGGGTTTTCTCTTAATATTACGGCTAAAATGTAATTATCAAGTACATAAATACATGTATAATATAAATTTTAATTATTCAAATTGAATACATACTGAATCAGTGCTTAACTCTATTTATCTATTGAAAAAATAGTGACTAGTTTCTTTATAGAACTAGGTTTCGCATTTTATCAGCCCAGGGCCTTCAAATTTGTTTTTCATATAATACCATTTATTTTAATCTTTATAGGTTAATTCAAGTTATTAAGACACAAACACAGGTGTATTAAGGGGTTTCAGAATTAAAAAAAAATATCGTATTTCGGAAATAAATGAGAGTTTATAAAAATCTTAGAAAAATGAAATGGGTATGTTTAGAGACTTCCATTTAACGAAATAAATGACTTTCTCAACTACAAAAATTATTAAATAAAATCGATACATCGCTCATTCGAGAACAAATACATCATCTGTTTCTGACAAAATTAAACCCTTTATTAATAAGCCTTATTATAAATCGCACCAGTTGTGTTGAACACCATATAATTTTTTATTATAATTTGTTGTCAATACTTAAGATTAGGGTTAAAAATTAAGATAAAATTAATTTTAGACTAAAAATTAAAGCCAAAAATAAATGATGGGTTAAGGTTTTTGGGTTGCTGAACATTTTTGTTTAATACATCCGGCTTTGATTATTTAGACAGTTTTTAAGAAATAGCAACTGTGGTGTTAAACACCACTGGTGTGATTTAACAACGTCGATTAATAAAATCTTGCATAAAATTTATATTTTCTTATGATTTATTATAAGATTTATAACATAAAAATAGATTTTCGATTGTAGCAATAGAAATCATAAGACCTAAAAAATCGAAAGAAAAATTGTAATAACTTATGGATTTTAAATAATTAATTCGGACGAGAATGAGAATTGAATTTGCTAGCAAATAAATTTAAAGTATATGTTATAGGGTCTGATATAATAACCCGTGCGACACCTTACCCATTGTATAAAAAGAATTAATCAGTGATCGAAATTTAAAATTTCTTACAAAAGCCAAATAAAGTGAATTGAAGAAGTTTAACGTTTTATCCAATGTCGTGACTCTATCCAACAAAAATATTAAATAAATGAGGATCTAAAAATTTAGTGATTCGTTAAGAATATTAAAGAAAACAACTAATATTAATAAGAACATTAAAGAACACCGATAACTGCAAACGATGCCAATAAAAAATTAAAGAAAATGAAGACCATTTATATAAAATTTTCATCTTTTGTGATTAAAAAATATTAGAATTACTATTAACAAATAAATTTTAGTGGCAAAATTTCACATCTAACTAATTATTGAATATATAACCTAATATAAACAATTTTAGTGCAATAAAGAATAAAATAACATTTATATCGATATTTTTGGTACAATATTCAGTTATTCGCAAACCTATTGATGTTCAATTCTTTTTTGTAATGATCATTAAAAGTATACATCCCATTAATATTTCCCAACTTTGCTAATTTTTCGTGTAAATGAACGCTTTGTGCAAATTTTCATTAACTCCAATTTCATCTTGGTAACGAACACCAATACGAAATATTCCATCACCATTCCCATTTTTAGTGAATTTTTATTAATAATAGAATGCGTCATGTTCATTATTTTTTACTCAATTCCATGTTCATAAAGTTACCAAGGGTGACGTTAAATACGTACATATAAAAAATTGATTAATATGAAGGAAGTCGGTAGTGTTTGTACGAAATGCATCTGCTGATGCCTTTTCTTTGCAAATGGTTTACTTACTTAGTGCAGCAAGCCGGCTTAGCCGGTTCTCCGGTTCAGCCGCGGCTGAGCCGCAGCAAATATTCCACAGACAAGCGTTTTGCGAAGAATTTATGCTTAGGTGAATTAGGCTGATTTCTAGAACTCCCCTAAGCCTAAAAGCATCACTATTTGTGCGATAGTTCGTGAGATATTCGAAGTTGAGTTAATCGGTTTGAATTACTGCGGATCAGCCATGGCTGATCCGTAGCAAATATACCAACAAGTGTTTTTGTGGAAAATTTATACTAGACAAATTAGGCTAGTTTATAGAAGCCCTTTAGGTCTAAAATAATCACTATTTGAGTAATAAATAGTTCATGTGATATTTGAAGCCGGGTTATTGAGTTTAAATTACTGCGGATCAGCCGTATCTATAGCGAGTATTCTAACAAGTATTTTGTAGAGTATTTATGCTGAGATAAATTGGGGTAGTTAAAGAACTCTTTAAATCTAAAATTATCCTTCAATAGTTCGTGAGATATTCGAATATTTGCGTTGGAACATATGACTTTCGGTAGATTTGTAATGTTATTTCTTAATTTCTGGTTTAATATAGAATACTCATTAATGTTCCAAAGATAAAATAAATAATGTAAATAATGTAAAAATATGTAAAACTGGCCTATCTTTTCTAATATATGTATGTAGAATTTGAAATAAATTTTTATTAGATTGCACATATATCATTTGAATACATTATCTCTATCTATGCGTAATTTTAATTACTAGCTCTGCTATTTTGTAATTATTAACTAAAGTTTCTTCTTTCTTAACGACAACCAATTTGGTGCGTTGAATGACCGGAGTTACTAGGTCAGATAATCTACTGCTTAATTCAAGGACTACTGTTTGGGAAGTTTTGTGCTTTACGAATAACTATTCTATAAGTAGTACATTTGGTCCTATACTAAGTATCCTTTAACTACCTCATAGCACTCACTCAAATAAGATTTTGCATTTCACAGCTCATTATTAAGTGTTGTAGAAGTATACTTTCATTTTAAGTCTTGTGCACATGACTTCGATATTTGTGCTTCCAGTTTAGACTTAATTAATAGATATTTCTATGCTAAACCAAAGGTTGAGGAATAATATCACAACTCTACTAAAATCAGAAGTTCCGCCGAAAGTAAAGCCAATAGGATCAGATATTCAAATATCTCAAGAACTGTTGTTCACATAGTAATTTTAAGTTTAAAGACATTTATAAGCTTGCTTAATCTACGTAAGTCTCTATAAAACGCTGTTGGAGTATTCAGCCACGGCTGATCCGCAGTAACTTAAATTCAATACAAATATCACATGAACTATTGCTCAAATAGTGATTATTTAGGCTTAAAGGGCTTCTATAAACTAGCCTAATTTGCCTAAGTATAAATTTTC